CATTTTAAAGCAGACCGTAAACCGCGGGTTGCAGCTCTACCGACAGATGGTCCTATAAACCATGCGGGGGTCGTTGAATGGACTCTTTATAAAGGTTAAAATGGAGATTTATCAACACTAAATCAAGAGTCCCTATGCCGCGCGTCGGAAATTCACAGTCTGTTTCAAGCTGTAGTTGTTTCCCTGCCAAGGCTTGCTTAGCCGATTTAAATCGCCATACAGCAGCATTTCGTGGTTAAAATCAGGGGGTTCAATCGTCGGAAAACCCCTATTAGGACATTCATTTATCAAACGTTGGCGCTTGATGCATGGTAAAACTGGTTCAAAAATATGGACTATGAACTGCGGGCTACGGACGTTTTTTCTGGGCTCGTCACGCTGTCTCTCTTCCCTTATGTATGCCAGAAAGGAACGCGTGACGAAGCGGTAGGAGAGTCCACGTGGGAGGCTTAAACTCTAAAATGGACGATTCAGCGCATACAAAAAACTTTCAATGGTTTTGATATAAGGGACTTGTCAGAAATTAGCGGGGGGGGGGGGGGGGGGGGGGAANCGATCTACAGGTCTTATGCTCACATTTAACGTGATTTATATGGAAAAGAAACATAGTAAGGTTTCTTTGAGCAAAGGGCCCCTTAAAGTCGTTTGATAAGATCTTTATGTTGGATTAATTCATGGATTGATTTGGATCGTTGAGGGGATCGCATAATACATCCTTGTTTGGATGATTGTCTCAAGGATGGACCGTGACTTTCTCGAAACAGGTGTTCGCAGTGCACATCTGACAACCTCCTGGAGGAAAGATCGCATAGCAAAGCGGTTACTGACCCATAAGTCTCTTTTTTTAATTTTTCATTTTAAAGCAGACCGTAAACCGCGGGTTGCAGCTCTACCGACAGATGGTCCTATAAACCATGCGGGGGTCGTTGAATGGACTCTTTATAAAGGTTAAAGTGGAGATTTATCAACACTAAATCAAGAGTCCCTATGCCGCGCGTCGGAAATTCACAGTCTGTTTCAAGCTGTAGTTGTTTCCCTGCCAAGGCTTGCTTAGCCGATTTAAATCGCCATACAGCAGCATTTCGTGGTTAAAATCAGGGGGTTCAATCGTCGGAAAACCCCTATTAGGACATTCATTTATCAAACGTTGGCGCTTGATGCATGGTAAAACTGGTTCAAAAATATGGACTATGAACTGCGGGCTACGGACGTTTTTTCTGGGCTCGTCACGCTGTCTCTCTTCCCTTATGTATGCCAGAAAGGAACGCGTGACGAAGCGGTAGGAGAGTCCACGTGGGAGGCTTAAACTCTAAAATGGACGATTCAGCGCATACAAAAAACTTTCAATGGTTTTGATATAAGGGACTTGTCAGAAATTAGCGGGAGGGGGGGGGAGGGGGTGGAAACAGAGGGAGAGTCACAACTTTTTGAGACTGCAGAAAAGGGAGGGGTCATGAAAATAGGCCGTTAAAAGGGGGAGGGTCATGCAAATATGTGTCCTTGATCGTGTAGAGATTCACCCACAGAAGAAAAAAGAAGTTCTTTATTTTGTAAAAAAACCCTGGGAGAATTAGGAGAGTCGAGCGATCAGCTGTCAGAATCAGAGTCGGACTCTTAATGCTGTCATCTAAAATGTATGTATATGGCATTACAAAGAACAGATTAGAAATATATTTTCAGCTTTCATAATACTGACTCATCCTACTGTATTGCAAGAGCTAGATTTTATCATTTATACAAGAGGGGGAGGGTCATGATATTTTAGGCCAAGGTCAAGGGGAGGGTTAGCAAATTTCACTCCCATTGCAGGGACGGGTCACCTCATTTCCGAACCCAAATTTAAAATTCCCCGGCCTATGATCACTCTGAAAAATAAGTATAACACATGATAGGTTTACCCTTGTTGTTTGAGAACTGGCTCATTGCTGACTCGCGGCCAATATACTCCCATAATCATAACTATAACAATATTCTCAAATCTGATTGGCTATCAACTGCCCTGATTTCAGCCATAATAGGACAGTTGCATAGCTAGGACAGAACGCGCCATGCCTAAGTAATTGGACAGTACGCACGATCACGCGCGCGCTTAAATGGCCTTTTTTCTTCACTGCTAGCCAAAAAATCTTGGAATTTGTGTTTTGATTTAAAAAAGAGCCTTATATATCACAAATTTTGTTAAAGTTATGATTAATTGGTAACAGAACTTCGTGACGTCCAATTCGATCTGTAATCATACTCGTGATTAAACAAATCAGACTCCCGCTACGCGGTCGTACGATTTTGTTGATCACTCGTATGCGGTTGAGTTACAGACCGAATTGGACTCACTCAGTCCAAGGCTGAGGGGTGTAAAACAAAAGAAATCGCATTAAGATTCAAGGATGAATAAGTTACTTCCCTTAGCCCCAGGGCCAGGTATGAGCTCTACAGTGTAGAGTGATTGTCCAATGTTATAATTTTTATTTAAGCCACGAAGAGTCAGCTGTAGTCTAGCAGCGCCCTTTAGATTTTGAACCAATTCTCCATGCGGAGCACCAGAGGTTTTACAGGTTCACTCTTTGGCCTCCCTACAGCCCTTCTTGAGGGATAGAGTCTTGAGTTTGAAAAAAAAAACAGTCCTTCAGTATTAAAAAAATAATAAAAACCTGCTAGAGGTTCCCCAGGTAAAATCTTTTTCGTCGTAAGCATCATAGGAGACTGTTCATACGGTAAGTACTCGATCTAAAACTTTTTTTTTTAGTGCGCTTTCGACTGGTGGTTTAATGGAGAATGGAAGGGTGCTAAATAGAGTGGGGGGCTTATTCAGTTAAGTTAAACACAGCGTTGTTGGCAAAGAAACAGGAAGAACCATCCTGGAGTTATCAGGGGATAACTCTCTGGTATTGAATTCAAGTGTGGTTGTTACAGATTATGCCTTTTTCCTTGAAAAAAGGGAGACGCTTTAAAAACATTAAAGAGGTGAAAGGGGCGAATATCCTAGATTAAAGGCCTCGCGCTGAAAACGTCATATCCTCTAAGGAAAACAAATGCGTCTCAAAACTTGGACATGAGAAGGGGCCGTTCACCATCTTGAGCCCCTGTCTTTTCGCTCCACACTTTTCTCCTTCTTTCAAATATTTTTAAGGAAAAACCGCGTGAGTACTTGTTTAAAAAATAGTATAATAAACTCTACACTGTACTTGCATTAAACCCCGGGGGGTTAGGAATTTCTGGGTGGGGATGTGCCGCCGGGACCCTGGAACCCTTAACCTATACCAGAGCTAGTTCAGCTAAATTTTGCTACCCTATACTAGAGTAAACTCCCCAAATCCCCCCTATCCTAGGGTAGCTGTTTCCCTAGTCTAGATAAAACCTTCAACCAACTGATCAGTTTCCTGAAAAATGATACCCTATTCTAGACCCAAACGTTCTGATTTATATACCCCGTTCTAGAGTAAACTGCTTGAAAACCATACCCTTCACAGCGGCACATACCTATATAGCCCATATATGGCAGTACCACCCCCGGGAATTAAACCCCCGGATTGTTGTTCACTCCCGACAATAACTCGTCTTTTTAACCCTGTTTAATGCAGCAGCCACAATCGCCGACAAAATTGTTGAGACATTGTACTCAAATAGGCTAACTCCAGAGAACAAAATAATCCACAGCCCCCCCTCCCCCCCCGTCCCCTTCATTCAAAAGTTGGGGTGTTTTTTGTTTTCTAAAGGTAACGCTCTAACAGCGGCACAATGTTGCATGGGAGGGGGGTTGGGGGAGGAAAAGCTTTATTTTCCCCTCTGGAATTTAGTAAAACGTCAGAAAGTCCCTTTTGGGCGGAGTGTCTCAACTAATTTTGTCGGCGTGATTGCAGGGAAAACTATTACGAAACTGGAAAGTTCTTGTTTAAGGTGTTTCGTTACAGTTTTTCGGAGTCCACACCGATATTTTTCAACCGCCATAAAGATGATTTTATTGTTGTCCGATTGCTATAAAATTTTCACCAGCGATCTAGACCTGATACTGAAAATCCGACACCAGGAACTTAAAATGCGGTGTTTAGCAAATAACCTCGGTGAAAAAATTCTGTACGTTTGAATTCAATTAAAACGTAAATAGATTTCAAACCTTACATTTTCAATAGCCGTGAGAAATTGTTTAATAAAAAAGTTTTTAATAAAAGGTTTTTGTCAAAGGGTCCTAAATAGCCGTATTTGTCAGCATTGCGACGTCAAAACCCCCATTTTTTACTACTTTTTTATCATCTTCTTGACTTCTTACATCAGTGTACCAAGTTTCATCTACAATCCATGTTAGTTTCTTTTACTAAGGAATCGCCTTAAGGCGGTTGAAAAATATCGGTATGGTCTCCGAAAAAACTGTACCGAAACACCAAAAGTGAAAAAATAATTGATCCTTGAAATTAACAAGTATATGTGGCTGAATATTAGCAATGATTCGCAGTCTCAATGATATAAATGATCAAGCACCACGTAATATATAATTTACTTCAGAAGTTACGGATGAAGAGTTAACGTGGCCGTCGAGACAAAAGCTACTTTAACAAGCACGATTGGCTATCGTACTTTGTGCGCGGAATAACCATTACATTGCGTCGACAAGGATGAATTTGAAAAAAAAAAAGAAAAATGGCCATGACCTTAGTTTATTTTTTTCTGTAGTATGGACCATGTTTTCTGTGAGCATACCGCTTTTCACCTATTCTTGGACAGTCGTTCTACAACGAGGGAAATTCGAACTAATTAGGCTGCTTAGACTAAAGTATGCATTTCCCCGGTACGTGATGTTGTCACAAAGTAAACCTTCAATCAATGATACCCTTCATTATCTGTTGCCTTTATTTACTTCAGTCTGTTTATCAGCTACTTCCACAACCATTATGATACTGATTTTAATGTACCCGCTTATTACTTTTAGACAGTCTTTATTCATTAAGAACTTTAAAGCACCCTTTAAAAAATAATTAGAGGGCGGGCGACCAGCATGATCTTTTATTTTAGGCCTGCGGAGGAGATACTTCTTCCACGTACATCCGGGACACTGAGTTCCAACCCGTGTGCGCGTCACCAGGTTTCCGTTCGGCACATTTACCCACCCAGAATCCCACGCGTACCGTCCCCTTGTGGAGCTTCTCGCAGATTCCTTCGACGTGGCGTGGGCGGTGTGGGTTCTTTCTCAAGTTAGTACCCAACGACACGTACACAATACCATCAATGGCTCCCGGACTAGTACATTCCGCCCCATTGAATGTAAAATACCACCTATTGCAGCAATCATCGCAGTTAGTTACGCGGAAATCTCCATTCCAGAAGACCCGCAGTGCGGTATTGTCGAATGTTTTCTTGAAAATGCATTCCTATTAAAAGAAATAGAAATAGCAGTGAGGCAAACAGACAGAGGTTGAAACTGATTGGTTGAAATTAGTTTTTCACTTTTTCATTTTCCGTCTGTTTGAATGTCATATGTGTGTCTTTTTTATACCTTGTTCATACTTAAATAGCGGAGAAACTGATGTTGACAGTAGGAGTGTTTTATTTCTAAAAAATGACAGCTGCGGTGTTTTAGCCATTCCCGGTAGTAACTAGTCTTCGGCAGCTGCGGTGTCTGCTTTAGATGTTTTCTTGTTCTCTCAACACATATTTGGAAATTTTAACCTGATTCATTCATGAAAACAAATGTTAAAATTATCCATAACTAAACGACTGGGACTTCTTTTTAAGTAAAAGAAGGAGTTCAGTGTTTACCTTAATCAATCCAGAGTTCTTGGCGTCGTCTACCCTCTTAAAAAAGCACTGCTTCCAGTTCCGTCCCAAGGATCCTGGAGCTCCCTGGGGACCTTGAGGACCCTGGAGTCCGCGAACCCCTGGTTGACCTTTGCTTCCCGCTGGACCCGCTGGTCCCGCGGGACCTGTATCGCCCTTGAGGCCCTGCTTTCCAGGAGATCCTTCATCACCTTTGTTACCTTTTGGGCCCTTGGGTCCTTCAGGTCCATGATTTCCTGGAGATCCCGCGGGTCCAGGGCTTCCTGGGATCCCTGGAATTCCTGGTGTGAAGCAGCAAGCACTTTGACGACATGACCCAAATGAAGTCTGTTGATTGTGAAGTATAAAATGTATTAGTTGAATGATACTTGCATTATTAAACTTTTTCTTGTAACTTTAACACTTTAACTGCTAACGAAATGGAAAACGTCCATATTGTAACATATACGGTAATACCATGTATTACAGATGGGGGTATACTTGTACTGAGACAGTGCTGTTTTTTTTTTTAATCTGATGAAGAATATTTAGCTTAAGTTCCTTAACCATCCTACATTCGCTAGCCACCAGCCAAGTTTTATCGAGTAGAATTGTAATTGAATAGGACCGTGTAAACATAGGTAATCTGTCATCATTGGAGGGCACGATTAACGAAAGAAAAGCGAGACGTTTGGATTCACATATTCACCTTCTTTTTTGGGGGTTTACTGTTGCTGCTGTTTCTACTTGCAGAACACAAAGAGGTCAGCAGTGCATACATCGCGGTACAGCGGTATCCTCATACTGCAGTCTTGGGCGTCTCTTGGGCTCTTGAAATTCTTGAAAAGCAATTTTGATAATGTATTATAATACATTGTCTTGTTTTTTTACCCAAAAAAAACTCAATTACATATTAAGTAATTTAAGTATAAAGAAACCAATTGTAGTAAGTTCATGAAATACTTTCAATTAATTTAATTTTCTAATAAAACTAAACAGGACAAAAACTAATAACTTTAGACGTTCAAGATGTATTTATTCAACAAAATATGATTTGCTGAACACTGAATTAGGAGAGATTTGTTGTTTCACCTCCGATCCTCTCGCAAGGATCCGATTTTTGCAAGCCATAGCAGAGATACACAAAGTTCTGCCCTACACCAACAAATGACTATCCGCTACTCGCGGATATAAATCGATACATCTTTACTTTGAAAGGCAGTAGGTTATAGTGTTCATAACTAGGAAGTCCCTCTGACTAGATATTCAACTAAAACAATCCATTCTGTCCATACCGTTCGCTCCTGAGATTGTTTGGGAATTTTTCTCCCCTCACCAATCGTTTAGTTCTAAAACCTTTTCTTTGAACTTGAAAGTTCACAGATTAAATATGACAGTTGTTAGAGTCAGTGCAGCCTAATCAACATACAGTGTCGTTCCTTAAAAAATGTCGCTTGCAGCAGCAAAAGAATTGAGAACGAATTTTAATGAAAACACAAATTCAGTACTTACATTCAGTATGAGTTCAGTAGACAGTTGCTACAGTCATCCGAGGAGATGAGATTAGAATTAGCTTCTCTGCTACACTAAAAGAACTATTTATCTACTCTAAACATACTTTCATGTTACAAAACACGTTAGTAAAGAGGTTACGTGTAAGGATATCACAGATCTATGAACTGCCCAATAATATGATTGCACAGTTACAAGAATAAGAACTCGTTCAAAGCTAAAAAAAGAAAATGATGTAAGAGAAAGTTAAACTTTCTACCTGGTTAAAACGAATCTCATTTCACCATTGAATTGTCACCTTTTTTCCTTGTTATATTTCCAGGTGATTGGTCAAAGAAAGAAAACGAAGAATGTTTAGGAAACCTCTTGTATGATGAATGGATGAACTTCCATGTCATTCAATGCCTCTAACATTTCCGCTTTGTATAGTGCCTAAAACTAAAAGTTCTGAGACAAATTTCCCGATAGAATTAACTAAACTAACAACTATAACACTTTTCGTACCTCTATAATTGACTATGGAAGTAAGAGGACAAAAGAGAACTATGAAAAAAGTCACGAGAAGTGAATACACCCTGATATTCTTTTCATTAGAGCGTCATGAAATTTATGAAGAAAAAATTATTCTTTATCTCAAATTTGACAATTTGACAGATTCATTTTCTAGTAAGGTAATGCGTATCAAGTGATTTGTTTCATCGTCCGACTAACCTACGGTTATGGAAAATGGAAAAAAAATAAATGAATAAAACTTTTCAGAATCTCTATAGAAACAACGTCCTTTTCTTCTGTGATAATGAACTTTAGTAAGCATTGATAATGAACATAGACATACTGTTTTCACTTCGCATTACTTTTAGAAAACGTTTGAATTCGCAATTTAATTCAGTGATGAGATAGGTATCATGTAGGAAATTAGAGAACGACGTGTTTTCACACACCGGTAATAAGATGTATTGGCTGGAACACTTTTATGGGCATGGCCTAAGAGAAACTTTTATTAGTTTACTGAATTACAAATTTTTAAGCTGTCTAAAGGCTCGCTTACAAATATACCATTGAAAGAAATTATTGAACCGAAATGAGGGTATCGTTTGCTTGAGCGTCATTAGGGACTTTAAGATCCAACGACGCGACGGTACAAGAAAGTCTAAAAAACTAAAGGTTTAATAAGGAAAAACAACTAACTTCACGCGTGCATCACACATTTTTTGTACATATCTTTGCCGTTTTTGCACGACTACGATGTGAAAATGCCTAATTTCGCGTTTTATGGAGAACTTAAACAAGCAACGACGAAATTTTATTTCTGTTTCTGAACTTTTTTTATTGTCCCTTGGAATTCAACTTCAGGAGGGTTGTTCACGACACGTAAGCTTTTCATTTCGCTCTAAACCTTCGCGAACGCGTTTATGATTTGATGACGTCGACATCCGGTTTACTGAAAAAAAAAAGGCACCTTTTGCCAATTGGCCCACAGAAACTTTCCATAGCAGAAATGGCTTTTCGTCTTGTAGCAAAATTCGTTTCCAAAGTTGTAATGTTTTGGATAAGCGATTAATATTTTCAGAGAAAACTGGAGCTACTCACCTTTTATCAGGGGCACCCAACGCATCTGTTCCTCACAATATCTGTTCTACAGAGAAAATTTTGCTGGCTGGGAACTGAGGTTTCGGCTGTTCTGCTGGGAAGTAAAGTCTTAAATGTGCGGTCGAGAATTTATCAAATGTATCAAAAATTCTTGCTGGAGATATTTTTTTCCCTCTAATTTGTTAGAAATTTTTCTTGTGTATATATCCAGCTGGGTATCAGGAGTAATCGGCTCCTGTCAGGTGGCTCCTCTATGTGCGCGAATTGTGCGCGCGCGGAGTCGCGCGCTTATGATTTATTTACCGCTGATCAAAAAATCTGCACGTGGGCACCGTTGTTAGCACCCGATTCACTCAAAGGGTACTGGGTATCACCCGTAAAAATTATGCCCAAATTACCGGGTATCACCCGCCATAGTACGTACTATAGTACGACTGAGAAAGTGCTGTACCGGATGGTGCAGGATGATGGTTAAAACGTGTTGTAATTGCACGTTTATCGGTCTTAGTATAAAATCTATTGCAGCACGCTGTCACTGAGGTTATATTTTAACGTGCAAAGCAGTATTTAATGGGCCGGTAAGTTGTGAAAGCCTTTATTTTGTTCATTATTTTTTCCCTTCGTTGTTTACCTATCCTTTCTGGTGTTGTTGACNAAAAGCGAAAAGTAAGAGGACTTTAGATAGGAGCTTAAATTAACGAAAATGTGCAAATAATCCTCAGTTATAACGAACCTAAATCATCGGTCTCGTCGATCCCTTTTTGCGTTAACTTTTGCTGATGACCAACTCCATCTGTTAATTATAGCTCTGTTGGCGTTCTCGTCTTAACAAGTTTCACTACTCCACGGTTGACCGATCAGTCAAACTCAGAAAATCTGTATTTTATGTCGTCGATCATTCCTCCATTATTTATCACGATTAATAAAAGATTACTCAATTTTACGAAAAGAAAAAAAAATGAATGTCTGAGAAAACGTTTAATATGTGTTTGCCTTTTCTTAGATCACTCTATGGAAATACATATAACTGGCACTGTTAATCAGGGGACATAACAGTTCCATAAAACCTACAATGTCAGACCGGGCAACCTGCTAATTTATGGTGTAAGAATGAAGAGTTTGACTGGCTGAACACCAGCGCTGCCCGAAGGTTAGGATTTCTTCAGCTGGCCCGGCCAGATGTATAAATTAAAGAAACATTTATTTATAATTCGCAGACGTTTCTACAATTATGAGAACAACAAAATGTATTTTATAAGAGGTTTAAGCAACCTTGAAGCGGAGCTCTCGTCCGAGAACAAGTATTAAAGATTGTTAAAACACATTATGGAAGAGAGAGAGAGTCACGCAAACTGCAGTTTAATAATAAATATAAATACCCTTGTAAGCTAAAACGATGGAAAATAAGCATGTCTTTTCCAGCCGGGTATCTAACAAGTGAATTTTAAACTTCATAATGTTATCGAGTGTAATGAGCTTTGATGGATAAGCTACGTTCTTTCAATCAAGAATAATCTGTACCGCACTAATTTTCATATAAAACTCTTCGTAACAAAAACTGATTAATACAATAAAACTAAAAACAGAAAAATATTTCAAAACAGTACACTGACATCGTTCAATTTGTTAATCGTCTTGCTGAACGAGCTGCGAGAACGTTAAATTAAATTTAGTATTAATAGGAACTTCGGTTTATGAAATAACATTTCATTTCAAAAAAGAATAGAAAAAGTGGAACACATCATTTAACCGTGCTATCGCAGTTAGCCTATTAAAAAGGCAAATAACACAGAAAAAAAAACCCGCTATTTTATTTCATTGCAATTCCGATAGTGAATTCTGGGAACAGTTCTTGTCACAATAGTGATCTTTTCACTGCAAAAGTACAGGCAATCTATTGTTAGTAGACTACAAAATAGTCGGTTTTTCTCAAAATCGGTAAAGAAATCGGTAAAGCGTGGCGTAAGAGTCCGGGACAAGCGCAAAGCGCGCGAGCCTCATTCCAGACCTTTTGTTTGACTGCTCGCGCCTTGAATACGCAAAAGTACGGACTGTTTTGCAGTCTAATTGTTAGTAACAAAAATATACCAGCAAATAGCTACTGTTAAATTGATGTAGTTGTAATAATGAACATAAATGAATACCGCTAATCAAAATTAACCACAGTTCCTTAAAAGCGAGTATTTTGATTGGTGAAGTTTCCCTCTGTATTCACACTTTCGTAGGAATCAAAACAGTCGCAACAAAAGTCGCGGCCTACAACAGCCCTAACCAGTTGACACCACCGTAGATGATATATAAAATTATGATTTGAAAGTCAGTGATTGACTTGGTTTTGCCAGGGAGCACCCGGAAGAAAAAATAAGATGATGAACGGAAAATTTGTCAGAATATATCACATTAAATGATAACTTACCGGTAGCGTGCCTTTGCTGTCTCACGTGTGGCAAAATTCGTCATTATCATAATCAAGTTGATCTTGATCGGTCTACTGCAAAACTAAAACAGATAACAAAAGACTTGAAAAGTAAGATAGTTGGGTGAAACTACTAGAAAAATCTAACCGAAGAAGGAATACACAACCGCCCTCGACACCTCCTAATTTAAATCGCTGCTTTTGTTTCTTTAGTTATAACTAAGAGAATTTATATAGACATTTCGGCATTGAATACTGAACCA